TATAGATATACACACACACACACACCTGTATAGGTACACTCACTTCGCGCATAGACTAGGCTGCTTCTCAAGATGCGTTCCGAGGAAATCCAAAACGAAGACACGAAATGGATTCAAGCATAAAGCCAAAAGAGTAACCACAAGAGCTCCGACGTTCTGTGACAACCGAGATGCTAGAGTTTCTTCGGCATTGAAGGCTCACGAGCTCACGGCCTGTGGTCTTGCAGGGCTCAAGGAGCTCAGGATCAAGGCTTAAGACTGATGAGGGCTAGTGGTTTCAGGGGCAGCATGTCCGCATAGCTTGCGACGGAACGATGGCTGTTCATAGCTTCAGGTCTCGGCTTTGGTTCTTGTTTCGGGACTGGTCTGCAGATACCGTGCGCACCTGTCACCGCATCAAGCAACGATGTGCAGAGTAGGTCTTGCTAGTCTTCCAACCCTGAAGCGATCCTAAACCTGATAATCCGAGACATGTTTGTAAAGATTTCGGGCAGGCTGGCTTGGACACTCAGGATCCAGCGAAGGTTATGCAAAAGGCTTCCACTCCAAAGGCATCCAGTTTCGCCGGATGCCGGGATTTAGGCTGTCATCAACAGGCGGCTTCTGCAGGCGGGTGACAAACTTGTCAAATCGCAAAAAAACATCTAAGCAGAAGAAGCATGCAGAATTCGTTTGAATTCACAACTGCATCGTCGCTTCTATCCCGCCAACACGGGCCTGATTGATAAACAAAGGGGGCGGCGTACTCGGATGTCAACCTCGAAAGTAAGCCGGCCCTCTCCACCAGCTCCTCTGAGCAAAGCCTGCGATCAAACTGTTGTCAACCGCCTGTTGGTGCTATCTTCTACTCTCTTCTATGCTTCTTTCTGCCTCTTGGGGCAACAATGAACCATCAGGCGAAGGATTGACATCCTAAGCCCTAAACTGTGTCGTCAACTGTCCGTCTGGCTGGCTGTCTCCGTTTGTCCGCCCGTCCGTCCGTGCGTGTACGTCTGCCTGTCTCTTTCTTTCGTCAGGGCTATGGGCTCTCTCTGGCTCTCTCTCCCGCTCTCGCTCGGGCGCTCTTGCATCTCCACCCTCTCTTACCCTTTTGCTAAACGTGAATAAAAGTGAAGCACATGGGAACCATATGCTGGGCAAGTCAGTCGCACCAGTCTGCAGCACGCTCATGACATCTTGGCCGGTTCCAGATTGATAAGATTTGCTTGAACTCCGTGCTACGATGTGGGACTTCGGTTGCATCATACATGCAGAAGCGTCAGCCTTAAGCTGATGCCGGTAATGGAAGCGAGTGGTACAGCCAGCACCCAGCGCAACGCCGCCATCTCAATCGCGCTGGGTGCACAAACTTTAGTAGTTTAAGGTTGAAGCTTGTTGAACGTCAAGGGTGTCAGGGCGTCAGGTCCAGAACCTAAATGAATCCCATATCACGTGTACATCGGCACAGGACAACTGGCTCAGAACATCATGCATGAGCCTTGAAGCAGTGTGGTAGAGCGTGAGTGGCTGCGAGGTGAGAACAAAAACCGTTCCAACATCTCCTGATCTCCCGCAACGTAAATTCTAAAGCACGCTGCAGAGCCGTGCCGGACCGATCTCCAGGAACATCCAGGAATGGAAACCGTTTCAAGGCTGTCAAAGTTGGATGTCTCGGTTGCACTGCGACAAAGAACTTGTCGCCCCTTTGAGGGAACAAAGTGGCGCTGAATGATGAAGCTCCACCGATGTATGAAGCGTTATGTGCGCTGTCTCACGACTTGGTCATTGGCGTTTGGCTGCGTCCTTTTTGATGGCAACGTCTCAGTTGTTTGGGGCTGCCAAGTTTTATCCATATCCTTCTTGACGGTTCGGCTGACTCCTTGCGTCCGCATGGGTCTTGCGTGCGAAGTTGCAAAAAGCTGACCTTCCGGTTGCTCCGGTTGTCTCTGGGAATAGGAAATTCGATGGAGCCGGCCTTGAACTGAAATTGCCCTGTCTAACAGACTCGAACCGTGAACGCAGGAAGCCTTCCAAACGGTTCACTTTATTCGCAAGCCATCTTGAGTGATTTCTTGTCTTTCAGCGGCAGCGATTGCCGTCAACTCTTTACACCCCGGTAGCTTTCGGATCCAAGGAATGTTCAACAGGGTGACGCTAGCGCTGCTAAACCACTCTCAAAGCATTCTTTTATTGCGTTGGATCTGTAGGCTTGCGGCTAACCCGGGATGCCCAGAACCCCGAAAGCAGGGGCAAAGGCAAAAGAACCCCATTCTAGGGACAGATACAACCGGTGAATAAGCCCACTCCCCCACCGCGGGCGGTGCAGATGTACCTTGGCTGCAGGTGAGACTGGGCAGACATACAACTTTCGAACTTTCGTGGGTGTTGGCACCTCGTGCTAAGGCATGCAGAAGGCAAGGCTCCTGTTTTCTCCGTGTCGCGGCTATGCGACGGATCCTGCTAGCTCAGCTCTAACCCCTTTGGCAGAACCTGAGGTCGATGGGCAAAGGCTTCCAGGCGGCCTCGGCTGATGCTATCGGCCAAAGCAGACCAATCTTCATGCCTTTGGCACGGATGACTTCGTAACAGTAACTAACTAGGGACTCCACGTAGCGTGAGGGCTTTGTGCTCCCCTCGCAACTGCAAATAGCAGCTCGCTCTCGGAAGCTTGTGCTTCCGGAAGCTGGCTGGTCAAAAGGGCCAGAGGTCCACATGATGCGAGTGTGCGTGAGCTGTGGAGTTCATGAAGACGCAGCCAGTGGTCAGGCCCCAAAGGTGATCGGGGCATGTGAAAGCGAAGTAAATCTTGGCGATGATCCAAGCTATGAACACCAAGCCAGATAAGTAAGCTGCCGTCACGAGCAAGATCGAGAAAAGTGCCGAGCATCTCTGCTTGCACAGTGCACCCTCCCGAAACAAACCCGTCCATCCTACTGCGAAGTACCGCCACACGGGCATCAGCTTGTAGAGTGCCATCGCCAGGCCCACGCACATGGAAGCCAGTACCTTCCAGTGCCCACTCCTGTCCAGATCGTCGAAGATGATGCCGTAGAGGGAGGCCTGCAACGCATGAAACATGGGTACCACCAGCAGCTACTTCACAGCAGAAAATCTTCTGTCTGGGCCTATGGATCTGAGACGCCCTCACGGTCGAGGAACTTTAACTCTAGGTACCCAGCTGTGTGCGTCGGTTATGTATGCTAATGCACTTAGACAAGCTGCGAACTTGAAACACAGCCGATGTCCTTTGGCATAACGAGATTGACGTTGACGACGATGACAGTGACGACGATGACAGTGATGATGATGATGATGATGATGATGATGACGATAGTGGTGGCGATGGTGATGGTGGCGATGGGTATCACGATGATGATGATCATGATGATGATGATGACGACGACGACGGTGATCGTGATGCTGATGATGGTGGTGGTGATGATGATGATAGTGATGTGACGATAATGCCGATGGGGGAACATTGTAAGCCCATGACTCATCACTTGTAGCGGGCCCAATCCGTTCCGAACACGGGCTGCAGAAATTCTGCCATGGAGGGATACTCTGAACAAGCTCTCAAGAAGCACCAATCTTACGCCAAGTGTAGCACTAGCCTGCCCGAAGCAACAATGAAGCTGCTTCGAGAATAAGAAGTCCCGCATTGCTACTTTCTGCTGGGCCTGCAGAAACAACTGGACAAGGTTCTCCATGATAACTTTTGACAGGCACGTTGCCAGACTTCTGCTGGTCGGTTCCTGCTTGCAGCGATACACACAGCACCAAAAATCTGTGAGACAAAGCACACCAGATTTGTCGGGTATGAGTGCCGCGCCTGAGTCTGAGTCTTCGCCACTTGTTCATCTCTTTCATACCAGAACGCGATGGATCCTAGGCCCGCTGCATCCGCAGCAATTGTGTTGTCTTTGGCCACGTCACGGCTGCCGCTCCTGACAGGGCGACAGCACTGCCCCATCACGGAACCGGCGGTCGAGTAAAGCAAAGCTGATCGGAAACTCTAGTTGGGTCGGATAAGCGGACAAACCCTGCCCACCCCAAACGAAAGGTCGCAGCAAACTGCTGGGCGAGGCCGGCGGACACAAGAGCAATCACCAGAACCTGAGTGATACTGAAGGGGTGGTAAGCGATAATGAAGCCTTATATACGGTTTGAATGCGATTATTAGGATAACTACCGTTATGATCGTGCAACAACAGCAGCAGCACCACCACCAACAACAACAACCACCACAACAACCGCAACAACCACCACAACCACAACCACAACCACAACCACGACGACGACGACTACTACTACTGCTGCTACTGCTACTGCTACTGCTACTGCTACTGCTACTCCTACCACTCCTACTGCTACTGCTACTCCCATCGATCTCCGAAGCGATGACGATCCAGACACCCGGCCTGAGCTGTACAAATCAGTGAGTTGTTCTTCGTTGCAGTTTCATTTCATTCGTTTCATGTCAAACAGTTCATGCCCGTCACTTTCCAAAGCACGTGTTCTGTGTCGAACCTTGCAAGTTCGCCGTGAGTGGATGGCTCAGTGTGTCTTCCACGGCCCAACATAAGCCCTGCCACTCGTGGTCTGCAGCTCAGAGGGCATGCGTGCTCGGAGGCTGCCCATCAGTGTGCGTCGCTCTACCGTGTCTGTCCCCAAGATGCAAGCGCAGGCCCCTTACCCGATATGCCTCCCCCAACACATGTCAGATGCAGCGTTGGAGGAGAAACTGCTCCTTAACGCTTATCGGCAGTTGCTAGGGGAGAACGCTGCTGCCGCTTGCCCGCCTGCCATCGTCAGTTTCCTACGCTTGTCGCACTCTGCCTGAGACTGAGAAGGGCGTCTTCTTGGACTTTGCAGACTCATTGGCCAGACGTTTTTCGGCAACCGAGATTGTCAGCTACCCCCCACCCCTGCATTGTGCAGAGCTGCCAACGGATGCGGCGAGGCTCCCTTTGGGTGGCACTGGGGGATGTCATGGTGGCCTTGGCCTTCAGCCCCGATGGTCGTCCGATTGCAGAAGGTTACGCTTTCTATCTTGGCTCCTATTGCAAGGGTGGAGCTGTTGGTATCTGTCGACAGACACGGCATCACGGCAATGTCTGCCGCCTCCTCAACGCGGTCATCCTGGCTGTGTGCCCGACCTTCAAGTGGTCCACAGTTGCGGTTACACTCAATAATCGGGTGAGGGTGCATGCCGACAAGTGGAACGCCTCGGCTCTGTGTCTCTTGGTTGGCTGCTCTCATCATGAAGGTGGTGAACTCTGGGTGGAGCAGTCTGGAGGCCTGGCCCGCGTTGAGCATGAAGCCTGTATGCTGAGTGGCGTGGCCTTGCCTACCAGATCCTACCAGTGCGTCGGCCGTGATGTTCAACGGCAAAGAGCAACGGCACGCCAATTTGCCGTGTCATTCTGGCGATCGTTTCGCGCTCATTGCCTTTCAAGCTGGACATCATGCCAGCCTAAGACCTGCAGACAGACGATTAATGCTGGATTTCGGGTTTGTACTGCCCTAGATGCAGCTGCAGGGGCAACCGACCTCTGCATGTGTGTGTGGCGCTCAACCGAGCTTGTATCCAGCTGTGTTAAGCTGTTTGTACCAAACAGTGTACTCTGTCATACCGCATGCACACACTTTGCCCGAGCTTTGCATTGGGGCTGCCGCGTGGGGAGCCTGCAGCCGAAAATGAACTCGACTGCACCGTGCTGTCAGGCGAGCCAGTGCTGCGTGTGAGAGTGCCTGCAAACCGAATGCGTGCCTTTCCCAGCCGACAATGTCTCCCAGGTCACTGGCATGAGCGGCGGACGCGGGGAGTCTGCTGCCCGACGTATGGTGGCCTGGCCCCTTTTCCAATGACCCCACCGAGGCCATGGTTTGGATGCGTTGCTGCAATAGTCGCTGTCGTTTTCTTTTTAGGTCTAATGGCCATAGACATTGTTGTTCGGAATGTCGCCTTTCTGACGCACTCCGGCATTCCCGACGGAGTCTTCCATGAACAACGACTACGAGCGAGGCCTGCAAGACCGGGCAGCGCGCGTGAGCAAGAACGCGCCGAAGGACGCGCCGAAGCCTCCCACGCTGTACAAGGACATTGCATCACGCCTGGGTGTGGCAGACTTACCAATGGCTCACATCTGCACTGCTGCTCGAGGTGTCACCATTCGCATGGTGGCCTGCATACACGGCGCTGTCAGAGTGTGAACCCGCCAGCGGTGGTGCCCACTTGGGTGACTGGGCCGGGAGGGGCTACCACGGTGACTCCAGTGGCAGTGGCGGCTGTGACACGGGTGACACAGGTGACATTGGTGCCGGTCCAGCCTCCTGCGTCTTCGGCAACTCTTGTCCTAGACTCTTCAACAGCCTCTGCGGCCTCTGCAGCCTCTGAGTCGGCCATGGTGTTGACTGAGACAGCAGCTTCTGAGTCCCTCCGGATGGAGCATATTTCTGTAGAGCTGTCCCTCGAACAGCCTTCAGCAGCTTCTGCAACAGAATCTGACTCGGCACAGGATGTGGCTAGCTATGATGTTGCTCGAAGAATCCCCGTTATCGATCTCCTTGAGGGCATGGATTGAGCTGACTTTTTCAGGTATCTTTGTATTAGTTTGTTCCTAAAGGAGCCGTGAATCTACGGCGGGATGCACATTCGCCGGGCCGTGCGTGCCTGTCCTCGCAGCGGATCATGGACGATTCGGCGCATCGAGTGAGCGAGTGCTACTGCTACTACCCTGCCACTGCCGCTTCCACTGCTACTGCTACCACTGCTCCTACTGCCACTACTGCTACAATACCAGTACGACTACCACGACGACGACGACGACGACACGACTACTACTACTACTACTACTACTCCTATACTGCTACTGCTACTGCCAAAGTGAGCTGAGAGACTCCCCAGAAGTGCAGCCCACGAATCAGCGGCACCCAGATCGGGAACCAGGAGGCCTTATCTGGTGGTGGTCGTGTCGTCGTGGCCAAAGAGAGACACTTAGACCAAGCCCTGTGCTGGGAGCTCAGTTTTTAACTACAAGAAAGCTTTGAGGCTGTCTCAGCCCGGAGCTGACCGTAGCCCAATGCAGGACTCACACCACCCGACAGCTTCAGTTTGACTACGGGACTGTCAAACACACAGATCCAATGACATTGTTTAGCGTTCGAGTTGCAAAACAATCCGAGATAAAACAAGGGACGCGGGCTTGTCCTGGACCTGGAACATACTTGAAACGAGGCGTGCTGTGTTGCGTGCAAACCAGCGCAAAGTGGGTATCTCAGCACGAAACCCCTCAGTGTACTGAACAGGCCTCGAAAGTGGTCGCCCACACGTCCGTTGCTTTCGGGTCGCAGACTGCTGCCTGCGCATCGACAACCGTTGCTATGGTTACGACCATTGCTAAATCATTGCTACTAGTGGTCCTATTTGCGGTTATGACACCCACAGAATACTCATGGTAACTGTTGCCATCTGTTGTTACTATGCTGTTGTCCGGAGATGCTTGCCTGGACCGGCATGGCGCCGTCTGTAAACCAGTCGAAATGTTCGAAGGCACCGATGCAGAACTCAAGGATCAACTTCAAAGACCAGGGGACCTGCACGGGGAACTAGATGCGAGAACGATCCATTGAGCAGATTGGGCATGATCATCTCCCCCTAGACCCTCAACCGCAAGTGTTTCTACGAATGTGGGATGTCTGATGCCTAGGTGCCACTGGAGTCAAGGTCTAGTCTGTCAATGCCAGTGGAGAGTGTTCCACAAGGCCGCGTGCGAAGGGTTGAGCTTTTCTGAGGCCACGGGCCGCCAGCTACCCGGTACCCCGAGGCTTTAATTTGTTGAGGTTTAGGCCTGGGGTTGAGGGCTTACGAAGTTTGAGGTATTGTCCATCCATTCCGCGGTAGGCAGAAGCTGCAAATTCCGACAATCATCGGGTCCCCGAGCCGCCAACACTAACCTCGAAAGAAGGCCGATTCAGAATGGCACCCCGTGACGACGAACAGTCTGGCTAGCCACCGACAATTGATCAAGTGTCGTGCCGATAACACCTTGTGTCCAAAGTCTCCAATGCTGCGGGACAGTACCATTCCCGCGTCGCCTTGCAGGAGAGTAGCTGGTTGCAAGCAGTTTCTAGATCCTGTTGCATCTCGTCGCAGACCTCACAGCCAAAGACACGACTCTATTCTTGCTGCAACAGCCACACTACCTACCCGAACGCACAATGTCCATTGTCTTCCCGAAGAATTGAATCTGAGCTTTCCCGGTCTGTGTTGCCCACTTTGACTGACAAGGCCTCGAGCTGCTGCAGCAGCTGGTACTCGATGTACTTCGCACGCAGCAGCACCGGGATGTACAGTAAGTAGACCCAGGTCGGCGAGCCTCCGGCGCAGGTGGTCCAAGGAGCTGCCACGAGGGGCAACAATGGAAGCAGCCACATCAGACGCATCTCACATCGCAGCTTGCGACCGACCTCCCGGTGCATCTTCTCCTTAATCTCCTCCTTCGCTCTCATCCAAGCTTCCTGTTGCGCTGCCGCTGCGGATTCCAGGACTTGACTCAAACCTTCCACATTCTTTTTCCCTTTTGATGTCGTTCCACAGGAGAAGCACACGTCAGCTTGCTGGGGCTGGTCAAGCTGGTGGTCAAAGGCCCAGGGTGTATTCTGGGCTGCTCGCTCTTGGGCTTGTCCGCGTGATTGCACCAAGAATTCACGATCGTCTTTGGTCATGTCTTCCTCTTGCACCGCAACTTGTGTGCAGACGCAAAAGCACATGAGCTGGCAGCACAGGCATAGTAGGCCAAGCCCGGCTGCCAGAACGATGGACGCGACGGTCCATTCCTCCATGGCTTCGACACACGCCTCTAGCTGGCATTCCTTTTGAGCCAACCCTGGCACCGAACAAGAGAAGATCATGATGATGCATGAAGCGTTGATACTTCTGACCAATTTCATGACTACCATCACCAGTATCATCGCCATCATCAGCATCAACAACAACAACAGCAACAGCAACAACAACAACAACATCAACATCACAATATCGCAAGCACCATGAGTATCAGTATCAGCATCAGTCGTCATCACTCATTGTTTGCACCTTCTTCGACACCAACATGACATCACTAGCACAACGATGATGAGCCACAATCGTACTGGTCGTCGCGATCTGAATCCGAGAACAATGTTTCAACGCTCAGCACTCTTTGGCAGACTGCCGAAAAGTCGATCGCCAGACCTTCTAGCTCACTCCAACTCCCCTGCCCAGCCCATGGCGCAAGTTGGTAGTTAAGTGTAGACAGGCATCAGATGAAGTCAAATTGAAGACAAGCCTGCGAATTTCCTGCGTCTTTTACTGCGTGGATGTGTGCGATCGAAGACCTAGGTCTTCCCCCTTCAGCAAGCGCCCAGCGTCCGCGTCCATGTTGTTGTATGCGCACACATGCACATCGACAGGGCTCCACTTCCACCCGAGACCGCCCATTCAAACCCACCGAAAGCCCTGAAGAAAATTGCAGGCAAACTGGCTGGCTAGCTAGCTAGCTAGCTAGCTAGCTAGCTAGCTAGCTAGCTAGCTAGAGAGAGAGAGAGAGAGAGAGAGAGAGAGAGAGAGAGAGGGGGGGGGCAACCTTCTAGCCCATACCCCTGGGGAAAGAAAGAGAGAGAGAGAGAGATATATATATATACAT